ACGAGATCAGGACTAATCAAAGTGAATTACATCCTTCACGAGATGAGGACTAAACAAAATGCCCAGGCTTAGTCCCAGAGACGTTTCTACAGAGTGTCCCCCCCCCCAGCCACACTGCGCCTAAAATCCTACCGGTGAGTCTTTATAGGAGATCCAGAGTACGTCATTAAGCATTCTCCGCTGAAGAAAACGGGGTGTTGTGGCGTCATATTATGGAGAAGTGGGGGAAATGATTGAGATTGCCGAGAAGGTAGTGGAAACGCGTGTTGACTGGTTTCGAATGTATTGAATCGCGCGCTGGGTGCTACAATGGGGCGCGTTTGTTGAATGGGAACACGTGTCGAAATGGGAAATTGAGAAGTATAGGAACTTTTCCTTGGAAAATTTCGGGTTCCTTGCAAGACGGAGGTGGATTCTGGATCAACGACGGCCATCCTTCTCAAGTGGAGCGGAATTGTTCCTAAACAATCTGAAATAATTAAGTTATTGAGCAGGAAATGAGTTTGCACTACAATTTCCACCTTCCTATTTTTCGGGCTGTAACTTTCTTCATATTTGGTCCTTTGCGTCGAAGTTATTTGATGTAAAAAATTCAAATCATTCTCTTTCCAATCATATCTGAAAACTCATCGAAAGCTAATTTAGTAAAAATTTAACACGTTGGAACTTTTTTCTGTGCAAACGCGACTTTTCAACCTTTAAACGACCATAACTTCCTTCAAACTCATTTATTTGGGGAGCTGAACCCGGTTTGAGAAACTACAGGGTTCAAGTTTTCTAAACAGTACCCAAACTGTTCTCGAAAGTGAGTAATTCAAAAACTAGTCCCGTTGCTACATTTTTTAAGGGGCATTTTCCAAGCCATTCTCTTAAGAAAGCGGTTTTTTTTAGGTTTCACTGGCCGCAACCTCTAAGGAAAAGATATCATGCTGAACATAGGATGTGTTAGAATGCTTTGTGCATGCGCTCGCACTGATATCCCCTTGTCTTGGTGTGCACCACGCCTCGGTCGCACTCCTGATTCGCTGACTCATTTAAAAGCTCATTCAGAAGGAAGCGGCGTACAGATGCTCTAGCATCAATCATCTTGCGTAAACGTAATGTGGTGACTATTGTCCATGTTGTCTTAGGAAATGCTCCTACTACACTTTCGTTCCAAATGTGATTTCATGGGTGGACCCATGTATGGTGGGAGTACTTCTTTGAACGATGCTACATGTCTTGTAGTTGCTGTTTCTGCAGGTTTCCTTTTCTCATGCTCTTCCTGAAACATGGTTATGATCAGTAGGGAGATTACCGGAAATCCCACTGCCGGCCACCGAGAGAGTACGACCCCCCTCTCTGGGTCCATCCAAGTACGACCCCCCGTTGCTGCTTGTTGCAACATAGGGTTGATCCTGGTTCGGACTTGACGCCGGTTCGGCTAATTTTCGCTGTCTGGACTTTTATTTCTCAGGGCCAGAATTCAACGTATTTGGGGACGATTTGGAAAACAACATTTCGTTTTTTAGACGGCTTCCTCGGGTGATATTTGTCTAAATGGAAAACATGGAATTACAATAGAAAATTTTCGTTGAAAAGGTACACTATCAGTACCACAATCAAGTAACATCATCTATAAAAAGTCTGCACAGAGAAAAGCGAAAAAGCTGGTGAAACTGATGCGCTGGAACCATTAACGTCGTATATAATCCAAGTATATAATCGGCTCTCAACTGGGATAATTTCCTCCATTTTTCTTCAAATTTGACTGTTTCTAGTCCACATCCTCCACTTTTTCTGCGGAACATTTCCTCACGCATTTCCATAGTTTCCCTTTAGGGCACGCTGTGCTGTAGATACCACTTGCACAATTCAGGTGCGACGATTTGGATAGTTGTATTGCCAGGGACGGTAGTAGAGTGCCATAGACTGGGATTTAAAGGTGGTGAACTACGGCCGTAATCGGTCAGTAATGAAAGGGGAGACAGCCAGATGACCCCGCTCTGAATGGCGAACTTCGCTACATTCCTAGCAAAAGTCCCAGCCTCACGGATTGAAGCTTATCATGCAGCGTCCATGCGCGCGACGTTTGCCAATGCACCACAAAGCGTTGCTGGGTTACTTTGAAAGAATTGTAGAAAGCAAGGTAGTAACCTATGAGGATTGCAAAACATCTAGTATCATGGAGAATTGACCTCGCGAAAGGTCCATTGTCAACAAGGAACGAACCCACTGCGCCAATCGACGAGTTTGGAATGTGGGATTATAGCCTAGATTATCGTACAGGGGTGAAATGCTCCCAGGACCAAGGAAGGAGCCATAACACGATCAATAAGTGGAACACTGGAGGGGACAGCAGATCACCTTATTGGTAGAAAGTTATCAATATTATGGATAGCTCCAGTGGCTTTCTTGCTGCCCACACTCAACACCTTCCACGAACCCCTTTCTTCCCTGCGCTGCACATGGCAGGGATGCAGAGACGCTAAATGCGACCAATGCATGACGTGTAGAGAAAAGGGGAAGTGCATGGGGATTGAAGAGACGCAGATAGCCGTGACTAAAGTGTACTCAGGGGTACATTTTAGTCGCCCTCTACATGACCCTCTGCGTCTCTGCAATCTCCACGCCCTTTCCCCTTTCTCTGCCGAGTTCGCCGTCTAGGCAAGGTGCCACCTAACACGTTGGCCACTTAAGATGTTGCATAGACCTCGCCCATTGCGGCAGGTCAGCGCGAGTCTCCCGCCTTTCTCTATGCTTTTTAGTGCGCACGAAGGCGAGGTCAACGTTACTTATTGGCCAACTAAAGATGGCTATTTAGGAGACTTCACTACCGTCCCAGAAGACGAAGTCAGTTTGGTGCAGCTTATACCTGCCTTTTGGAATCTGATTGTATACCTCTATATTTATCGCTTCCGAAATCCTGTGCAGTTGTCCGACTGCGCAGTGAAAGGAGTTGAATAGCTCTGCGCACATCCAAATTGGAGACGCCCAGGGCACCAATGTCATCTGAGACGACGGGAAAATTTTCAGCAGGTTTGCAGGCGACGGCACTCGGCATGTATGGCATCCTAACGGGAAACATGTCAATCTAAAGTATCAAGTGCCGTCCGTGAGACAAGGCGGTCGCTCTAAAATTTGAGAAGTGGCGAATGCGGACGTACAGGTAGATTCCAGAAGGTGTGCATTCGCAGCTGTGGCAGCTCCACGGTATAATACATTGATACAAAGCATCGTACTTCCAATGTGCAGGAGTGATTTCGACAGTATTGTGTGCATTGGACTTAGGGAAAATTGACGAGTGTCATGAGTGTAATCACGACACTATGGGAATGGATGAAGAAATCACTGGCAGAGAAGCGAGTCGGGAATATGGACGAGAAACTCCTCAATTTGTATTAGGTTGAGCCATGAGTAATTGGCGATTTCTTCAGATCCACGCCATTCTCTTCAGAAAATGTTTGTGTTGTTCCTCGAGACTAAGTGTCCTTTCATTTCCGAAATTCGACCGTCAGTACTCATCTTTTGGGAGAAATAATGCCGTCTTCTTCAACACATGTTCGTCACTGTCTATTTTACGAGTTCCGCCTTGACACACAGCAAGAGGAGCCGGTCGGAATATTTGTGTATCTGAAGGCCTAACTCGCTTAATGAGGATTTCCATTGAAAGTGGTTTGGGAAGCTACGCCAGGGCGACTATAGACCTGAAGACCGACCATGCTTTGTACACCCAGCCGTAGATACTGAAGGCATGCAAGAGCTTCTTGAAGGCAATCTGGTACCAGTACCGTCAAACTGCGCTTCGGTCTCCCCATTGCACCATGTGTCGCTCCTTTTGAGCCACGGAGAAATTGTGCACGCTAAGAAGATGGAATTCTCACGAGTTGGACGTGGTGGCTCGAAGGACACATGTGAACATCTCCCAACTTTGTTGTCTAAAGCAATTGTTTGATTGGCTTGAAAAGTGATCACTGGGGTTGGAGTGCGCAGCCTAGCTAAGCAACCTACGGGGGCATCAGCGGAAAAGTGCAAGGACAACGAGCCCCAGTAGGTGAACTTCACCCGGGGTAGGTTCCGCTCTCCAATTGCTGGACAGCGTCATTACAGACTTCAAAAAATACCACCACTGGGCGCAGACACCTACTGCTCACAGCTGGCGGATATCGCAAAGTTGAGGCTTCCAGTATATGAAATCGTACCATCGTATTCCACATGTATCGAGAGAATGTCAGAATACTATGCAAAACTTCGTCCCATGATTTCTCCCCATTCTTTTTAGTCCGCCCAGGTATAGAAACTGGCTAGTTGCTCCGCTTACTTGCTTGTTTCCTTGACGAGGAAAGCTGCTATGATGGCGGCCACCTCAAAACAGACATCCACTGATTCTTGACGCCGAAGGTTGCGTAGTTTTGTGGAAGAGGTATCCATTCACTTGTGCATAGGTAGAGGACACTTGTAGACACTCGTGGTAGATAGGGCACTCAATCAAGGTGCAAAAGAAACCTGCGAGCTTTTGGAAATTGCGTTAAATCGGCAACTACTTATGACTCAGCCTAACAGAAACAGGAGGATGTTCTCTCACTTGAAAGGAATTCATCAACCGGTTACACGCTTAGGCTCTGTAGATTTCAGCAAGTTTAGAAGGTTCTTGGAAAAGTAATGGATCTGCTCAATTTTATTGATCATGTGGAGACGATTCTTCTGTTGCGTTGTAAGCTTTGCACAACAATTTGAAATTTACTCGGGATTTGTCATACTACGGAGATTCTGTTGTTGTCCATTTTTCACTATTTCTCCCATACAGCACGGCAGCTATTCTTGTGAGAATTGGTTGTCTTCGAAGTATCAAATTTTGAACAAATTTGATCCAGCAGAAAAGCAGCTTACATCCGAAAAGGTATATGGCGGAGTACTTTTGAGCGCCACTGTACGAGCACTCCAAATCTAGGACATTTCACCAAGTCTGAAAGAACTGAAAGGAGGTAAATTCTGCTTGCCTCACAATTTCTGTGTTCAGAATGAGCGACTGGCCGAAGCACTGTCTGGGTTGTACGTTTTCGAGAATCAACACGCTTTGTAAGGATGTCATCATGAAGGTCTGTTCGTGTTCACATAATTATTTTTGACGGCAGATTTATTCTTATGGTAATCTGATAAGGTAACCTGCACAGGAAAATCCACCAACCTAAGTTTCACTTATTATGTACCTTCGGATCTGACGGCAGTTGGTCGTAGTACTTGTAAGTTTTCTGTGCCTTAGGATGATCAAGACTTGCTTTTTCCCATAAAACGGCTCCACTGATTTGGAACCGCTTCTATGAAATCTTACCATGGCACAAACTTGCGTATAAAGGGCGGGACACCACTATTTCGTTGACATATCGAGACTAACTTTCATGAGTCAATTCTGACCGTAAATATTATTTGTGGACGAAATGGTCTAAAAATGTCACAATGCTTTCAAAATTGAACTGGGGTCGCATCGTATGCGGTAATTAAATCAACTAATTTCGAAGAAATTTTGCGCAAATTTGGTCCCAGAATTTCAAAAGCTCCTTCATAAGAGAGATCAGTTTTCGAGATATGGTAGAGAGGACCCTTCTCTCCAGGCCCATTCACAAATTAAAATATATCGGTCTCATCTGGAGAACTGGAGAGTCAAACGTCGTGATTGCAAAGAGCGGGGACCTGCTCGGCGCAGTGTTCCTAGGCCACTCTTGGTTACTGTGCTGGAGCGAAGCCTTCGCTGGAACCACAGGTGCACCTTTCAGTAGAGGCAGGCTCAAAATTTCGAACAAATATCGAGTTTGAACGCTGGTTGGACTACGTGGAAATTTGCGAAGTCGACAAGAACGCGTTAGCTTACCGCTTTCATGGAGCTTATTTGTAGCACTTCGGGACAAGGGAGAATCATTTCGTAGTTACTGCAAATTAGTAGCAGCTTGTTTAACTCATTCGTGACAATGTCAGCCACCGGTGGCTGGCAAAGCTCTCGCTCGGGACAATGGCATTACTGTAGCTGCAGGGCTTGAATTGGAATTTGGAAAGTTTTCTTTCATAAGGAGTCTTCATACCCTCGCTCATCTACGCCAGCCCTGGGCAGAGAAAATCTCTCTCCACTCGAATTTTATTGAAGAAAAACCTCCTGATGCTGCTGCTATTGCGCAATCCTGCGCGATCGCGAATGGGTTAAGCAACAATCATGAGAGAATGAAACGAGAACGCTCACGATACGAATTTCAAAAATCTAAAATATGTATGTTTACCAGAAATTTTGCACCACGTATAGCAATAGAGTCGAGTCAAGCCCGTGAACTACACGGAAAGAAAAGCTTATGTATGTGTTCGCTCATAAATATAGACTTTCCAAAATCCAGCAATAACTACATCGAAAACCTCTTTGGGTAAAGAGCGCGATCGTATTCCAGTACTATGTTATTGTACCGGCCTTGAATGTTAAGCACAGAACCACCGTTCCATGCCTATAGTTCGTGCACGATAGGAAGTAAAGATTGCGCGGAATACGAAAAAGTACCGAAGCGCATTAAATAGCTGTTTATTATGAAGTTCCCAACAAATTTTGAACACTATGAATACCATGAATCTGCTACAATATCAACAAATCAGTACGGGCTTCGTACTTTCTAACATAGTTGCGAAAACAGAACGACGCATTGATAATGCACCATAAGCCTCAGTTTAAGCCATTCACATCAGGGGGATACCACATCGGTTCGCCCACTCAGTGAGGCATACATCAAGAGCAGTGTTTTGAACACTAATCTCGAATTTGCTTTTCAAACTCGTCAGTCAATTTTCTGAACGAAGTTATGAAGAGCTGATTCACCTGCGTAGTTCAAAACCATCGATTCAGCCACAGCAGTGGTGGCATGTGAGCGATGCCATCCTACTGCAGATACGTGGTGGTGCGCAGTGGTCAGGGCGGCAGCTTTCTGCATGGAGACCAATGGTTCGAATTCTGTCACCTCTCTTTCTTTGCACTTTTGTGACTGGTTCTTTTGTCAGGCGTGGATTTCTTCCTTTCTTTACTACTTACTCAATGCACGAATACTTCTCTCGGTCACTCCTGCTCAGCTATGGAGCGAAAGCTTTTGCCGTAACGACAAAGACAGACTAGCTGGATTCTTCGTGGATAATACCGAATATGATGATATCGACAGATAAATCATTTCTTATGGGCATTGTTTCCAGCAAAATCGGCTGCAAACCGATCTTTCAATATGCGCACTCGAAATCGACTAACACCCGCCCTGTTGGCAGTAATTAGCTTGAGTCGTAAACAAGTATAATCTTCCAAAACCGTTTGTTGCGCGAGCCTTGTACAAAACACATGTGCACATGTTACCGTCACACCCTATTCGAAGCTCCTGCCCATGGCATAACATGCCACAAATTAAAGCCGATAACACGAAGAACGCGCGATTGATTAATACGCGTTTAATCGGCGGAACACAAACGATATTTCAAGATCAAGGGTGAAACGGCGTGACTTTTCACTGCTGCACTACTTTAGTTTTTGCGTTTTGCTCTTTTTTGCTTTCAGAATGGGTTGGGTGGGGGGGGGGGGAGGTTGTTGTTGCAACTGTTCGTGCTTCTGCTAATAAATGGAAATATGCTTAGACCTAAAATTCGCTGAAGCTTCATACTCTGGACGGCGGGTAGGTCGAGCGGTGGCATGGAGCGTATAGAAAGGAGTGCGCCTTGGGGCGGCCTCGTATCGGTCGACGCATCGAAAGAATCGGATCAAAAAGCTTGAATTTGGAGAGCAGAGACAAAATTGAATGAAAATGATGCGATAGACATGAGAAATTCTATTGCCACAGGTGGAAAAGGTCAAAAAGGGTTTGGACGCAGTTCGAAAATGGAGTGGACTCGTTCCCGGCGCTTACATTTGTGAGATGTTACGTTGTGCGATTTTGAGCGCGTGACCGTTCACCCGCATTTCGGATTGTTTACCGAAACGAACGCAGTTTTTTCCTTCTTTTCGTTTTCCTCGTAAATGGTGGGTCTCAAGCCAGCGATTTATGATTGAAATAGAACCATACTTTTTCTTGAACGGCTCCTACAACCATTCAATTTTCTCCTTTATTTTTTTTCGTTTCCTATCCGCCATGTGACCTTGTTTATCTATAGGTTCGAAAGGACCCAGAAGCGCAAGCGAGTATGTCAAGAGTGGCTAGGAATGGTTTCTCTACAAGTGGTCGTGGAAGCGTGAATATCAAGCTGTCGTCACCCCAAACTGCGCTGGTAGTTGAAAGTTTTATGATCATCCGTGTCTCTCTTTTTTGTTTTCGAGGAGAGAGGTATTTGATTTTCAAATACTCCCTCGCCTACCGCTGGCATTCTTTCGTTGAAATTCCTAATAGATCTCTACTTAGGCGTACGTGACGCACGGTTGGAAGTCTCTCTCCACTATCCCACAAAACCAACTTCTGCACTACTTCACCATAGCTGCTCTCGTGCAAGAGTGCAAAGAACCGTCACTCATCGCACTCTGTCGCCGCTATGATCCAAGGTTTCTGGGATTATCAGATTTCTTCAGTATCGATAAAGATCAGGGAGTTCTTGAGCTTCAAATTTTGATATTTTCTTTTCGTTTAGTTCAGATGAAGCTCTTCTGTGAGGCGACGTTTCTGTTCTTAAGCCCTTCCTCAGGCCTACAAATACAGCCATGCAAATCGTAGATTAACAGTCAACCTAGGTGAATCATAATATTGAAAAACGAATATGCCCCTTACAGCTGAGCGATATAATGTTAATTGGGTTGAGGAGTGGGTAATCCGGGAGCCCACATGCAAAGCTTGTGAAACGAGGGTGAGGTGGGCTATGTAAGGGGGTCCCACCTCTCTATCTGTCTAATGCTCACCGCTTACTCGAAAATAATAGATGCCGAAATGTAGCGGCATCTTTCGGCTATGTAGCAATTATTTCCATGGCTGTTCGCAGCTCTTCCCTGTTGTTATTTACACGTTTTTTCTTGGTAATTCTGATTCCTCTTTTGTCTCCCATTCCGCCGTCCCAACGTTCCTCTATGATACACACTAAGAGTTCAGGTGGGCAAGGTACGATATTTCAAAAGGCGTCAAACGGATGACCGCTGGGATTCCGGGGAGCCCTCAGATGTTCGCAAAGCTTTTCTGAGAGCGAAACAGGAGGCCGTTCACTTATATAAAGCTACATATCTACTCAAATAAATCAAGCTTCAAACATCACGCACACCGTATTTCGTGAACGGTGTTTTTCGGGGCACACTTTCCGTGCATCCGTCCGGATCGACATTGCAAACCTCTTAATAATACGATTGATATTTTGTGCTTATACGAACGCCAGCATGACGGATACTTAAAAGCTGTCCGTAATCAAAGCAGTTATCCGGGACCACGTGGTCTTGAATCACGTTCTTTGCGTCGCACACATGAACACCCACCCAACAAGGACATGTAATGTTAAGGAACATTTGTAACTCAGTGGAGTGGAGTACAAAAGAGGCATTGGAAATACAAAGAAGAAACCAGCAAAATAAGAAAAGGGAAGAGCTGCGAGCAGGCATGGAAATGGATGCTACATCGAGAGATGACAAAATGAAAGCTGCGTGACTGTTGCTAAATCGCAAGGTATCAAGCAGTATGACCGTCGCATTGCTATCAGTCATCCGAATGTCCCATTTCTTTTCGAGTGATCAAGTGGTGTATTTTTAACTTTAGGAAGGGATTAGGGCCAGAAACGTCAAGCTGTATGAAGAGCTTCTTCTGAGTAAACGCGAAGAACAATTTCTTTGATGCTTTCCTTTTTCCACAATGAAAAATGCGGACGCCATTACTAACGCTCGGAACTGTATGACAGGCTGTGAGGAAAGTTCTTGCCATTTTTCACAGTCAAATTGCAATGCATCAGTTTGTTTGAATTTTCTGCAGACTAATACACGTTGCATCTTGCCCTCAATAAAGAAGGTCGTGCAGGGTGTGCAGCATTTTTTTCTTCAGAACGGTTCCTTGCTTGCTGTATGGACACGCACGTGCTTGGACTACAATACCGTGCTTCATTTTCACTGAGCGGCCCTCTGAAGACCAGTGAAGGGTCAAAAATTTTTTGAGAATCAGTGGCTATTGCAGCTTCAAAATGACTCAGGGTCAAGCGTGCGTTGAGGAATCCTCGACACGTCACAGGGGAGGGGGGGGGGCGTCGAATCGGCCCGCCGGGAGGAAAAGATCGGGCCGGATTGATCATTAGTATCATTACTATTGGAGGACAAACATCAATGATCGGATCGATGCCATAGAAACCAGAGGACTTCCAATAAGAATGTTATTACGCCAGCATAAAATTTTCGTGATTCAGAGGTGTCTGCGTAGTAATTCTTAGCTACTTTAGTACTTTACCACGACACAAATTAAAGAATCCGAACTTTGCACGGTATATTTTTTCTTTCACGTGACTCGAATTTGAAGAGATGTGAAGCACACGGCGCGTCCCAGAGTGGGCCCCGTTGTTGCTGTAGTTCGCTTTAACTACGGCTCTTTGGAGAGAGAATCTAAATTCATTAAAAACAATGGGATTCTGAAGGGTTTATGTGAAATACAGGGAGGAGTACACTATTCAACAAGGAACGCAGTCTTCAGCGTTAAGTTCATAATCATTAAAAGTGCACGTAATCGTCAAAGTTGAGGTACGCTAAGCAATTTTGCACTTTTTGGGAAGAGGGAAGCGCGAGGATCCCGAATCTCCTTCAATATACAATCGCCCCTGAAAGGAGCTATAGTCGTTGAAAAAGTGCCAATACAGCGAAAAAGTAGCTTTCGGCGGTACTCGGGCAAAAATCCTCAATGGCCATTTTTGAAATAGTGGACGTATTTAGCAGTTCTAGTAATAGTTGAGAGATCAAATCTTCTAGTTTATGATGATATATGAACCTTTCAGACTGATGAGCTTAAACGGAGTTGTGGCTTTGAAAAGCGTAAAAACTCGCACTTGTCATGAATTTTCCTCGTTAATTTTGCAAAAATCCTCAGCGTAACCATTTTTTTATACTGGACGCATAAAGCTGCTTTAACCCATTCGTGACAATGTCAGCCACCGGTGGCTGACAAAGACCTCACTCGAGCAATGGCATCCACCGCGTTTCAAATTAATTTAAAACATTTTCTTCCATGAAAATAATCTTCATACCCTCATTAATCTACGCCAGCCCTGGGCAGATTAAATCTCCGCCCTTCCAAATTTTATTGAACGAAAATCGCCTGACTGTACTGCTATTGCGCAATCCCTCGCGGTCGCGAATGGGTTAATGACCGTTTGATAGAAAAATCCTCCAGTTTTGTCTGCCATATTAACTTTTCTGATTTGACGAAAATGAAGCAAGTTACTGCTTCAGGAAATGTAAAATCGTGCTCATCATTTCCCTCGTTAATTAATCTAAATTTGTTATTTCTAATGAATTTTTGCATTTTAACACTGATTAGGAAGAGCTTTTCACAAAACTTCCAGACTGCTTTTGGATTGGAAATTCGTCATATTCGAAGAAAGTCATAATCATTTGAATGTGTTGAAATTTCAGTAGTAGATGAGTTGCTCCAAAGCCAAGGCAAAAGAACAATCAACACCCAGTTGGCTAAGGCGGTTATAAGGCTTCTTCCAAGCGAAAGGGGGACGTGTGAATTGAGAATGTGTACAACTAAAATTTGGTAAGGCTTGCGAAGGAAATAGATAAAGAAGACATATGTATGTAGTGACTAGTTTGTCGTTTTTTACTCCGTTTCTCGAATGCTCGTTTGGTAGGACTCATCAATACTGATCATTCTCTGACTTTTTCACTTTTGTATTTCTTAAACGGATTTATTGGTGGAGGGTGGGGTAGCAGGGCTTTTTATAAACAGTTTTGTAGGAGAAGTGAATTCTTATGGTTCGGCTTGTGGAGAGGGTCGTTCCGTGAACTTCGGCCTCTGGGGAAGGGAGGGGGTCGTAATTCCAAACTTTCCTCGATGGTTTGCTTGACCCTGAGTGACATTTCGCTTGTAGATAAGAGCACCTGCATATAGAAGGGTACTGATGAAGACGATATCGGAAGTATGCGTAAAATTTGCTCATACTTTACATACTGTCAATGGTAGTGCTGAGGAAAGTGTGGAGGTTTCATAAGTATCATGCCATCTGCACTGGGCTGGGGGTGGAGGTACATAGTTTGAAACTGTGTACGGTAGCGTAATTGGCGGATAACTGTAGCGTGCGGTAGACTACTTTGTACTTCCTCAAACTTGCCTGTGCGGTGACCCAACTTAATTGCTTGCGCTGATATTGACAATTCTGGACAGCTCCAAAACAAAAAAAACGAAGCATGGAGTAATATTTGAGTGAACTGCTGTCTTTCGTGGAACCGCGCCCGTTTTTGGCCCTCGAAACTTGCTTAACATTGGGCGAAATTTTCTTTGATTGCAGTTTTTCTATCAGATTCCCAGCTTTAGCAATGCACTAAATATAGCTGCGGTCTTAAAATTCACGCTATATATTGCTAGCAAAAAATTGGAATTTTGAAGGGAGAAATCGCATTCCAAAGGGATGGGATGAGCCCAATCATGAAGATTTTCTTTTAGCATGCTGGCGGGGCTACGCCACATTCTAAAATTTTCCATGAGTCAGCTGTTCTAGATCATTTCTGTGAACCCTGCTAAACATAAAGATTACGATGCCTGCTAATAAATACAATAATGATAAAAATCTTCCATTTGCGAAGAACAAAGTTTCAACATGACATACGACAATTGTTGCTATTGTCTCACTCGATGAACAGAGTGGCGCTCACTAGTGGGCGCCATTGTTGCCAAAGGGTAATAAAGCCTCATACATTTATTTCCGTTATTCATCTGACATAAACAGAGAAACGGGCCATGATCTGGAACCATACAGAAGTCGTCACCGTGTTCTGCCAGTCTGCTCCCGCGAACATCTTGAAATCGTCTTCCCACCGCACTCGTGGTCGTCCAACTGATCTGCTTCCACAAGGCTTCCAATTCATCAGCCGCACTTCCCATCGCGTCCTGTCTCTTTTTCTTATTTGCGTAAATCCACTTGCGCTTTCTGGCTTCGATGACAGACGGCTTTCAGTTTCGGTTCTTGTGGCGTATTGCTAGCTCGAGACTTATCGCGAAGTCGGACGGAGGTCTACATATTGGCGCGGCGATCCATCCGGTCCGTTGGCATTTTTTACTTACGATCTGCTGTGCTTTTGGTTAGGGCCCACGGCTTTACATCCATACAGTAGTCTAGAGTTGCTATGCAAACATGTGTGCGAAGAAGCGTACTTAATTGGTAGTCAGTGGCAGTCAATGGCGTTGCAATAGGGCTCGAACTTTTCTGTTGGTCACGCAGCGTGATTCTCCGGCGATTTTTGGCACCGATCCTTTGAGGAACGATGAGTTGGCCCAGAAATTACACGAAGTGAATGATACACTGCCTCAATTTCTTCTACTTGGCTATGAGTGCTGGTCCATTAGGCTGTTGCTGACATCACTTTGTTTTGCTTGTATTCATTTCAAGTCCGGCACTTTCGTGCGCACAATGAGCT